CTGCCAACAACAACAACAACAGCAACCGCCATGACGGTGACGACGACGACGACGACAACGACCACGATAACGACAACGGCAACGACAACGACAACGGCAACACCAGCACCAACACCAACGACAACGGCAACACCGACACCGACCCCATCACCAACAGCAACACCACTAGCGAAGACGACGACAACAGCAGCAGCAGCAACACCAGCAGCAACAGCAGCAAGATCAGCAGCAGCAACACCAACCACATCAGTGCAACATCAACAACCGGGCCGACGACAACAAAAACAACACCAACCACTATCGTGTCTCTCTGTCCTTCCGTTCCGTTTCGCCAGCAATGTCGAAGAAAATGGTGTCACTCAATTCAGCCGGGTATATTCGAAGCATGGGATGACTTGGTAGAGGCAGTTCCCAGTGGTGTTTATTGCAATTTCTTCTGTCTCTGTGTGATTGGGTGTGCATGTCCGATCGTTTGTGTTTGTAAGGTACATTGTCGCGCGCGACCCTGTTGGAATCATACCTTTGTACATTGGCTGGCTCATGTCTCAGCTGCTGTGACAAACCCTTCCCAAAGCAGAGCACACCCCCGTCTCTCGTTCTGTTGCAGGGGGGCCGATGGGTCTGTGCAAGTCGCGAGCGAGCTTAAGGCCCTGCACAAGGCCAAATATGTGGACGTTCAGACGGTTCCTGGCAGTGAACAGGACATGCAGTTGGAAACGTATTCCGGTCAGAGGCTCTTCGGACCTCTTTCCACGCTCTCAGCCCAAAGAGGACCTCAAGCAAATCAGTCAGTGTCATTCAAGATTTAGCACTCGAGCCATGCGGAAGCAGTAATTGACCTAATGCAAGACAGCCCACGCTCAAGCAGGCTAGCGCTTTAGAAGAGCAGTGCTGTAGCAACACACCGGTCCAGTCCGAAAGCACGTAGATGATGGCATGGCAGCGGCCTAGTCTACGACTGAGATGGAAGTCGTGCTCAATCAAGAGAGATTTCTAGGAAGTTCTTGGGCTTTCACAGGTGCCACAGTGAGCCACAGTGTGGTATGGGCAACAGCAGCTGTCAGTCATGCGCAGTGGATCCTGCCTCAGACAAGTTTGACAACGGAGAGAAGTGCGCAGCCGGGTTAAGCATCCTGGTTCAATCCTCGGTCAGGCAGACTGCGACAAAAGCCCAGCAAAGCCGTGCGCAGCACCAGTGCTCCAAAGCTGCTGGGACGTTCCAACCTGTTAGTCCGACTGCAGCAGTCACGCTCATGGGCTCGGTGCCAATCCTGTGAGACGGGATGGGTAGCCAAAGATGCTTTTCTGTGCTTTCTGTTCCTGCTGAACATGCAAATGACAAGTCAGCGTTGCCACACAGCTGAGTTGCTCTTGGCTTTTGGACTTTCTAGTGTCGTGAGATCTGCCTTCCAAGCTAAGGCAAGCCTCTGGGGAGCCAGGCAGGAGCCGCACTCCTTCAGCTTTCACTTTAGGTGCAGCGAGCCGTCGTGCAAAGTTCATGCTCCCTTGCAGGTCTCCTCGCCGAGCTTAACCTGGGTGGTAGCCTCAGAGTGGATCAGAGTGGGATGGGCGGCGGGAGGCTGCAGCAGTGCTGCTTCCTGCAGCAGTGTACACTTTCGCAGGAGTTTAGCCCGCTTGGCCTTGACACGGCCACGTTGCAGCACTTCGTCCTGGCCTCAGTGGTCCGAAGACCCAACTTAGAAAAGGTTCAGACGGCGCTACTGTCGTTGCTCCCCTGTGCTCCTCGGGAGTTTTTGAGCCGACACTGAAGAGAACAGCTTTGGGAGGTCTCGGTGGTCTCTGGCGACGAACAGATCGGTTTGCTTTCACGGGCGTTCAGAGAACAGGTTCTTTATCTCCTAGTTTTGTGGCTTGCACAGTTTTAACTTCGGGCTTCTCTAAGCTGTCAATGGCCAGCCCCGCCTTTGTGTGATGAAAAAGAAGTATGTTTTACTTTGTGGTGTCATGTCTGAGCTGCGGCGGCCTTGGGGCTAAGGCGGTTCAGCTGTTGTCCCCAAGCTTCAACGAGAGTGGCGGACGAAAGGCTTACCGCTGCTCGCACCTCCGAGCTCAACTTAGATGACTTCTCGTGCAGGGGGAGGTGCTGAGGAACTTTGTCAAGAGCATATCAGCTGCTTACCGACAAGCTGGGTTCCACAACTTTATGCATGCCCCTGGCTCAGATCCTTTGTCAGCTTGCTTGTCCATAGTCGAAGTGCGCACCCTCGATGCGAATCGTGGCTCGAGGCCGTCGACACGCTGCAAGCGATGAGATGGCAATGTGCCGATACTTAGACTTGACACTGATGCTCAGAGCAGGGTTCAGCAATCATGCTGCAGATGCTGCAGGCAGCCAACCGCCTTGGGACAAAAACCTGCAACATTACCAGCATTTTGCACTTCTCATTGCCGCTGTTGCTGTCCGAACCTCAAGGTGCAAGAATCCGCGTACTCGCTTGGAGTCTCGTGTTCGTGGGACCCGGGCCCCGAGGTTGATGTTGGCCACCCTGGCTTCGACAACGCCTTCCTCGTTGATTCGGGTGATCCCATTGCCTCATGCTGGGCCCCCGGAAAAGAAAGTCATACAATATCACACTTTGACTATGATTTTCTTTCACATCGCGGGAAGGCTACAATGACATGTCTCCGTTGGAGTCAGCTTGACGCGTTTGTACTGAAAGGCGTGTGGCCGGCATTTATCTGCTTTGCCTCCTGCCAGGAACATGCACAGTAGCAAGCTTTTCGAGATTCTGAAGAAGGACAGCCTGTTGCAACATGACAGCGTGGCAGCACATCGAAGGCTTGTGGAATGAGATACATCCGGTTCAGGATGGACACAATGTTCTCGGCCACATCCCCAGTGAGGCAAGGCCCGGGGAGGTTTCAGTCGCATCTGCAGTAACAGGTTTCAAAGCTACTGTTGCAATCTAAGGGGATGCTGAATGTCGTCGCCAGGAATTCCGCGAGATGCGAAGGCTCACGATAGACCTCATTCTCCACACAGACAAGTACTGCTAGGCACCAAGTCGGCAGGGACGTTGCATTTCGGAGCACAGCAGTTACCATTACCATGCGATGCGGTGGTTCGGGTCTGTGCATGAACTGCTCGTAGGGAGATCCCTGCCTTACCTCGAGCTTGCTCGTACCAGTGGGTACGCTGCTCGCACTCACGGATCACTTGACAGGTTCGCCTGCGCACTTGCTCTGCAAACATGGCACCGGTCGTTCATATATGCATGCAGTGACATCGGAAAGTGGTGCCAAGGTCACAGAGATGTAGTTGAAGACATTCGCATCCTGGCACGACAAGGTGCGCAAATCCAAGCAACGCTGGTTGTGGATTGAAGATTCATGCGCTGGAGATGGCATTCTGTCATCCAGGCTACGCGCCAAAGAGTGCAGATCCTTCATCCGAAGAAGGCGATGATGGCAGCGCTTCTCCCCTGGACCCAACGGGTTTTTGGCTGTTTTGGGAAGGTGCCGCCATCCTGCAGGCCACGCCCTGCCATTGGCACCTTTCTTGACTGTCACGCCTTCCTCTGTCAGACTTGCTCTACGGATTTGTGTATCAGGTAGTCATGCGGGCCATGCTGTTGACTGCAGACCTCTCCAACCAGTGCAGGCTAGTCTTGAGGGAGGCATTTCTCTCAGAACATTTTCTGTACCCTGCAGGTCGCTCGACACAGCCAACGCCTGGGCTGCAATGTTGCAACAAGAGCTAGGCTCCCTTGAAGCGAGCGCTTGCAGGCTCCTGGTAGTGCAGACTCCGTCACAGGCCTTCAAGACGAGCAAGAAAGGGAGCTGGGCCTGCAGGCCCCTTGCGGCCGCTTCCGGGCCGTGGCACAACTCTGCAATGTGCAGCTGTCAAGGTTTTGCCACTTAATCGCTGGAAGTGGCTTGGCTAGTAGCTGGGAGCACGAAAGCACACGGCGGCTGGGCCCGTCCTGATTGAGGCCTGCGTTAGCCGACCTTCAGCTCCATCTGGGTATGACTCGCACTGGGCCGGCTCCCAAGCAGCCAGCGGCTGCGAGCAGCGGGATGTCCCCCTGTTTTAGCATTCTCGCGGCAAGACGCAGCAAGGACCAACGAGCTTGATCCAACTGAGACGATGCAAAGTTGAGCGATAGTGAGCGCACGAGCCGCCGATTCTGTCAGCGTCGATTCGGCTCCCCGGTTTGGGTTTGAACTGAGACCAGGCACTTGTCATGGAAGGTGTAAGGTGACTGCTCGTGTCTCTTGACCGGCACGCACCCTTCTATCATGAATGACTTTTCTTGAGGAGTTTTCTGATTGTAAGCAATTGCATGACCACCCTTTCAATGATTCAATCAAAGTGACGTTGTCTAGAACAGGCAGCTTTGTATTGTTTGTTGAGAGTGGACATCATTGTTCATGTCTGACTGATTTCGGAGAGATATTGATTTGGTATTGAGCTTGTCGACGAAAGCCTCACTGAACCGGCTGAAGGCCCCTTCTCGGAGCTTGGGTTCGGGTTTTTCCTGCGCTGGCACCAGCAACTTGGCTTTGTACCAGATGTATTCGCGCTGTGATGCTGTGTTGGTCTGACGACACAGCGTTGATGCACGGCTGCTCTGCAGAAAGAGCTCCCAGGCCACGATGCAGCTCTCGAAAAATGGGACCAGCGAGCGGCCTACTCTCCGATGCTAGGGCTTCGGGAGCAGAGACAGGAAAGCAGGTTACAGAATTCTGCTAGAGAAGCGTAGCTCAAGCTTAAACACACGATGGCATGTGACCGCCTGAAGGCTTAGAAGATGTGAATCGTGACAGGTTGGGCAGAAGCATGTATGACTCAAAACGAGGCCGGGCAGCTGAATCGGACAGCATGCTTAGCTTTAGCTAATGGTTTATGCAGGCTAGCGCAGGTACAGCGCCGACATTCCCTGTACTGAATCTGCAGAGAATCTGCCCTCAATGTGAAGGAACAAATTTTTGGCTCGGTCGCCGTTCTTTAACGGCGACCCGTGGTTTGTGGGAGCTGGCAGGTCGAAGGTGCATCTGCATCAGATGAACGAGCCAAAAAGACCGGCTCTTAATTCCAGCGCGCTATGGTCAGAGGGTGGGACTGACGCATGCACCGTTGCTGTGATGGCACATGTCGCAAGATTGAGGATAGAGGCCATGCTCGACCCAGCGTGTCTTGGCAATGAATGTGTAGCGTAATGCAGTTCTGTGCTGTGTCAAGACGAGCTGAGGCGCCCGGCTCCTACACTTGGCGAGGCCACGAAAGGACACCTGGTCGTTACATGTCACCGTGAGAAATCTCAGAAAGCTGTGTACTGCAGGACATGATCGTTTCGGGTACTTGGCTGCGGCGAGGCCATACATCGGCAGGTGCGCTCCGAATTGTCCTTGGTCATTGGTGCACGAACTGACCAGCCCGAAACAAGGACTGAAAGCCAGTCTAGAGGTGCTGTGGCTCCCTTGCCAGAGAGCATCTCACGACTTCGCCCGACAGAATTTGGCGATCACTGATGCTTGAGCACTACCCAAGCTGGAGACGTGCAGCGCCATTGGTGCAAGATAACGCGAAATGGAGTTGAGGCAGAAACAGATCCGATGTCGAGGCTCAACTAGTTGGCCTGTCTGTCCTTTCTGTTCCGAAGTTGGAGGTGCAGAGGCAGACAGCCGGGGGGAGACCGCATTTTTTCGGGGTCACATGCAGAGGAACCATGATGATGCAGCACTGCGAAGGGACTAAGCGAGGCTGCGCAAGTGTCAGGCGTGCGAGATTTCGCCCCACGCCCAATGGCTCCAAAGAATGTGTTTTCTCTGGGATCTGCGACATGATCGATTTCTGATGTGTGCAATGAGATCTATCTACAAGTCATTGGCTGCAAAGCTTGGTCGTGCGATGTCGTACGTTCACCATAACCGGGATAAGCGGAATAGGTTGACTTCGCTGTCTCATGCAGCTTTCACGACCTGCTCTCGATCGCTGGATTTCACTTCATTTGCTTGATGCAAGCAATACGTGGTGACCAGTCTGCATTTTTGTTACATCTCGCCAGATCTCGCCAGGCAGCAGGTGCCGGCATCGACTTTGAGCAGCCTGAACACCGCCAGTCTCGGCAGCGGCAGTGCTACTACGCTCCTTGGCATCGCTGCAACGAGACCGTTCGTAGAGCGGGACGGGGCTGTCCATCCAAGGTCACAGCCCGAAACTGCAGCCTCGCCGTTGCTCGCCGCAAGAGCTTGCAGAATTGACGGCACAGACTTAAGCCGTGGCCGCCCAGGACTAACCAGCAGCCTCCACCACTGGTTCGCGAGGCTGCCCTGCCCAACGGTTTCGGAGTATGGTGTGGCCACATGTCACAGGTCCGTCGCTGGAAGGAGGGCAAAGGCCTGCAGACAAACAAGGTGCGATTGGTGATGTCTAAGTGTAGACTCTTTGCAGCGTCCTGGCAGAGCGCGATAGATGTCAGTGGTACTGACTGCAGGAGTTCCCATCGTCACGAGCCCAGTCTGCGAGAGCTTGTGCCAACTGTGTTGGCTACAAAAGCCTGTGGAAAGGTCAAGCAAAGGAAGAGAACTGGTGTTGCTGTTCATCTGGCCAGTTTGTCTGTTTGCCTCGGCTTCTACGTACGTTCCGACTGAGCGCCAAGTGCTTCCCACTGGCTGGCAGGTACGTGCTGTCTGACCCAAGCAGCAACGGAAAGCCTTTGGCTTGGCCCAACACTGGTAGAGCCGTGTTGGCCTTTGGCTGAGAGCTTTGAGGCCGCTTCCTTTCCAGTTCGTCGACCGGAACAGTGCATCCTTGTCAGAGTCTGCTGCCGAGACCTTAGCCAGCCCTTAGCCATAGCCTAATCACCAGTCACCACGCCTGTGACCCGTGTTGTCACCTTCCTGCGCAGGCCGCAGATGTGGCCGTAGCGAAAGGTGTGCGAGCTGCATCAGATGACGTGGCTTGGAAGTACATTTGAGACCTGTCGTATGTTGCTCATCCTTCTCGTGCTTCGTTTCAGGTGCAGTATGATCGCAAGCGTCGAATGAGCTGCTTTGATGGATCACCTGGAGGACGCAGCGACAGTGACTAACAGTTGGGTTCGGTCCAGGCACCCAGCAAATGGCAAAGTCTGTGTATCCCGACCTCAACGGCCACTTCTGTCTCAAATGGCTTTTTTGGTTTAAATTAGATACTTCGACCTGTTATTAGGGATGGCCGCGGTATGCTGGACCACAAGCTTGCATGGTTGCATTGTCAAGAAAGGGCGGTCCTAAAGGCCATTTGTTAGGTTGTGCTGTTGGTATGTATCTATGTATATATGTATATATGTATATATGTATATATGTATATATGTATATATGTATATATGTATATATGTATATTTGTATATATGTACATATGTATCTATGTGTATGTATATTTGTATATTTGT